GGACAGTATTGGAATATATACAATACGCTATTTGGTGTATTCGGACGGGGTTATCGTACAGGGACGGGGGCGGTTACCCCGACTCCTCCCCGACCAACCCTCAGCAGGAGGCTTAGACCCCCGAGTCCGCAGCCGAGGGCGGTGTCACTCGATCCGTATGGACGAGTTGGGACTGGTAGATCTCCGCAAAGTGTGGTATCCAGGGCTACTGATGAGTATACTGATGACGATGGGAATAGTGTAGAGAGCGAGGCGGGCAGTCTGGATATACTCACCATGGATGAGTTGCTCAAGGAGGACCTCAGCGTCCTCCCTACAGATAACCACCAAGCTTCATCTGCTTCTATCATTGCCCAGTCTGGAGGTTGAAGTGAATGGCTCGTATCGGGTTCATGACTGCTATCGTCTACTTACTATGTAGCATGCAAAAGATATTAGTTTCGATGCCATGGCTCTCTAAACAGTGCAGTGTTCATCGTTGATGACATTAATGGGGACGAGGGACAGGTCGTAAACATAGCCTTGCCATATCAGGTTTCTTGTCCCTTCGGTACTCTTGCTGAAGAGCATCGTTATAATTATGTAGGATAACAGGGGGGATATGGCGAGAGATGAACTGTGTCTACATCGTCATCGAGTAGCACCAGTCGTAGCGGCTCTGTGTATACAATGAGGGGTGATGCTCCTTAGTTTATGTGTCGGGTGGCGAAGCAATGTGCCCTGTTCCAGTGTGGACTGTCGATGGGTTATAGGGTCGGCATCTGCGGAAGTATTGTCGTCGTTACCATAGGGGCGCTAGGGGTGTAGAAGACGGTGACGAGTAGTTGTTGTATCTACAGGCCTGCAAGTGTTCTGGCAAAGTAGTAGCGACGGGATGGCTCTCGAGGACGTCAGGCACGGCTATGCTGGCAGTAGCTCTGTTGCTCGAGGAGATATAGTTGGGTTTAGACGAGTTCTGCAGCTCTAGCAGCGGCAATAGGAATGTTAAGGGGAGGCTTCCGGATAAGCCCTCTCAATGCACGTGGTAATCCTGAGTATGCTTCTGTTGGTGGAATTAATACACAGCTAAGGCACATGTAAGGCGGGGGGCATCCCGAGAGGGCAGAGGCCTATTCCCATCAGGTTTGATAACCACTACGCCAGATCGCTATGGGATAGTGAATATTCTGAGTTCATTTATCGACAATGATCGCGTTTTGATGATACTCTCGTACTGGAGAAAACGGTAGATCGCCACTCGATCTTATCGCCACTCGCAGTATGCTCTACGAATGCAAAGAGAGGGCATGATACGCATAGGATGGGTGATGCTATGGGAGAAGTTACCCGAGAAGACTGGCTCAATTCATTCATCGTTACGTATAGTACGTAATCATAGTATACTGAGCAGAACTTGTCAATAAGCAAGTGCATGCACAGTTCTTCCTGTCTGAGCTGGGCGATGTTGATGTGCCGGGGGATGGTGGAGGAGACATTGGAAGTATGGGGGAAGCGATATGCTGAGGAAGATATATCCGAGGCCATACAGGAGGTAACTAGTATCGAGGAGAATATACCATGTTGATACCGCCCAAGTAGGGTAGTGTTGTACACGTAGTGAGGGTCTTCGACTGCACCAGGGCACCCCGTGGTCTAGTACTACTATCGTTCATGCTCATGGCGAGTTGGCATCATGAAGGGTATGTGCTATTTGAGCTCATTAATGGTTTCCAGCGGCTGTTGGGGAGGGTTGGGGGTATATGGCAGAGGACAGGGCCGTTAGTAAGGATGAGTTACTCGTTACTCACCTTTGTACAGAGAGTTCTAGTGCCTTAGAGCCCTGGAATTGGAGGCTCGTATAGCAGTTACACCACCGTATTGTTGGCTGCTTTGCGCTTACGACAGCTTCTGCTGTTTGCTCGGACTTGGGTACCGTTCAAGGGCAGTCGCTACAGCCAATGTCTTGTGGTGATACGCACCCTGGGTATGTCACCACAGGCATCTATTAGGGAGAGGGGTGAAATACTGTAGGATGAGCATCTTCTAGAGGCATTCCAGATGCTACAGCTGGGTGCATCCTCGCATCGAATACAGCTTGAACTGGGGGTTGTCTTGGAGGGCTTTTTTCCGTTCCTGACGTGTGGCGATTAATCACCCAACTGTCTTTAGTATTGTGTGTTGTAGTATTTACATGTTACTCGATTAGTTTTAATCATTGTCCAGTTGAGTGTGGATGGCGAAGGTT